CTAGATACCCATCTTCAGCACTGTATGTGAAGAAGTTGAAACTGTATATGCAAATGAAACTGCACATTTCCAGCTAACATATTTGTGTGAGCAAATGGAAATTTAGCAAGCGTAAATTTAGTAGTCCCCTTTAAATTGGTCTTGCCAGTGTCTGAGAGGTGATTGGATGAGTTTATCAGTGTTCCAGATATAGCTTATAATTGCTGCTTCGCATTATAAACAAAGCCATTAACTGAAACATATCTACATTTACTGAAATGACTTTCACTCATTGAAGACATTGGGGCACGTTTAATGCCTTTTTGCTTTGTGTAAAGATAACAATAAATCTTGCACATTTGCTAATATTTAAATCAAGCTTCAAAGTTAACCCAGATGACTACTTTGATGGAGGAGCAGGGTTTATGCATTCAACTAAAAATCTTTTTTTTACATAAACATTTTTTGTTGCAGGTTTATTTTTGACAGGCCCTTGTATAAAGACATTGCCTTCCAGAAAAAACCTTGGAATTTTAGGGTTACTTGAAATGAATGCATAAGGATATGTTACATGTCATGACTATGCTGCTCCATGTGCAGTTGGATAAAAAGAAATTGAAGTACTGCAATAAAACTCTCTAATATTTCAGTAGACACTGTTGCATGTGAAGATACTGCAGAATGAAGCTCATAATCCTGGACCTCCTCTCATGAGAGGCTGAATATATGAAGGTATTTCATAAAACAAATCAGAATGGAGACTTGTAACAGTGCTTGGAGTTACGTACTTCTCAGGGTTGCTTTTGGGGCAGCAGAAGGCTAGAGAGCAAGACGTAATTTAAACTTATACATGTGTACCAGGATTTGAATAACTGTACTCTACTGCAGTTAAATCCAATGGTAAAACTAGCCTGCTGATTAAACAATAATTGCAATGAGAGAAGAGGTTCATGCAGTGATTTTCCTACCTTGTCCTGCAGTAAGATAAAATATCAGATGGGCAACATTTTCAGAGTTACCATCTCTTCTCATGGGTCTATCAAATTTGGGTTGCAAATCTAAGAAATTTAAACTCGAGGTAATAAGTGTTGGCATTAAAAATTCGGTGTTTGCTTCTCAGTAATTATGAGTAATTAAATGCATTTTTTTTTTTTCCTCAGAATAAAGTCTAGTTTTGAACTGCTAGAGAATTAAAACAGTTGTTCAGAACACTTGAATTCACTGAGTTCTTTTTTGGAAGCACTTATTGGAATCACTACTTTTTACACATCAGACACTATAAATCTAAAATAGGTTCTAAAAATTAGGCTAGTCATTACCTACCAAGAACTGTTACAACTGATTATCTTTATGCCCACACTATGAACTTGGGAGGCCTACTTTTCATACAAATATTTTTTTTTTTAATATGAATTTTTATACAATGGACACAGTAATTCAAGGCTTTCTGCCTTCATTTGAAAGTTAATTTGGATGACAGTAAGGTTTGCATTTAAAGTGCAAAAGCTCTTCCTGTGTAACTGCATGTGTGGACGGTTCTAATTCGAGAATCAAAATGTCTTCTTGTTTCACTTAATCTACTTTGAAAATAGAAGTGTTTAGCTTAATCCTTCATTGAACTGGAACAGGTCCACTTGTTCCAGTCCACCTGTGAGTTATGTTGGAAAAGGAGTAGCTTTTCTGAATAACTGCTATTCATTTCAGAAATATTTTTCCAACTACTTTAGGTCTGAGCCTGATCTCAGTTGACATGCATTGCAGCCTTCCAGATCTCAGGTCTAAATTTTGCAACCATCCCATCAAGTAACAGACTCTGTTTTAAATGCTCGGAAGACTGGACTCCAAAACTGAATCTAAAATGTACTGAGTATTTGTGACAGAAATGTGACTTAGATTTTGTGGCTTTTACCAATCTCAAACCACAATTAATTCTTTGTTGGCTGTAGATATGGTAGCAGCAGTATTCTTTAACAGTAAAAATAGCAGTGATGATGGTCATTAATTGAACAAATGAAATCATTAATTGTTTTGGTACAGAGAAATCAAGGCATGTGCAAAAATCCCATCAATCTCAGTTAAATGGTGCCATGACTTAGGAATAACTCCCTGAATCAGGACTTAAAGCTGTCAGCTCTAAGGAGCAGGTCTTATCTCTGAGTGTCTGAACTGTGCTTAACCAACTAGAACTGTTATATGGTTGAGAACTTGAGACACAATTGCAAAATATTGTATAAACATCTTTTGAGCACTTCAGTAGATCTGAGAGTTAAAAATAAAATCCTTGTACTTAGTCTCTTGGGGGACTCAAATAATTTTATTTTTTGTTTTTAATTGAGAATTTAAGCTCCTCATGCAGTTTGTACAATGACTGATGTGCATACCTGGGTTACTCTGAAGGTCAAATACTCTGTGTATTGGACATTTCAAGCTGGTGTCCTGCTTAAGTTCCAAATCATTAGCTTAGCAAATAGGAGCTTAAATATAAGAATAGTCAAAGCGGAGGAAAAAAAGTCCACTGCATAGTATGTCTAGCAATAGAAAAATCTACAGAATGTGAACATAAATTTTTAATTCAACATTCCTTAATTTAAAAAAAACACACCACCACCAGTCCCCTCCCTCCTGACAAGCTTGCAAAAACTAGGTCTGAATTCCCAGTGGGAATAATGAGCAACAGCAAGAGCGAATGCTGGGAGAGAAGAATGCAATTGTATTAGGCTCCATCACAATGGGAGGTAAACCCAAATCATTTATAAAAGGTAAATGCTGGCAGAACACAGGGAGCTCAGAGCACCACACTGCAGGTGTGATTTATGAGGCTGGGGACTGGCTATAAATCAAACCCTTTTGTTTTAAATAGTACTGCTTCAACGCAGGAGATCAGTTTACATGTAGAGGAAATGATGAAAAAAATGCAGTACATTGCATCCCAAGAATATTAGAGAATCAGCTTTACAATGCCACTATCAGTACCACGTTCAGACAATAGATATCTGATGCGCAATTTAACGAATGCTCCCACTGCTTGAACAGAGGGCCCTAATCTAGCAGCTCAAGTTTGTTTCAAATGTATTAATTATGGGATCTCTTTTGTGAGTCCAGCTGTTAAAATCATTGCACTTATGATCAGGAATGCATTGGCTATTCCCGTTAACTAGCTAGAGGTGTCCTTTTATGCCACCGAAGTCTCTGCCTGTTTCTGTGTTAGCCGTATTTTTCCTTAATTATAAAGGTTTGTGGGTCTTATTATTTAGTGGCCTTGTCCTGTGGAAAGGGGTGGATAAAACAATTAATTCCTAGGGATTCAAATAGAGAGTAGGCATCCGGGAAAGTTCTTCACGATTACAGGAAAATACACACCTCTGGCAAAGAAAAGTGCTTTTCTCTCTCTGGTTGTATAATTATCAAATGGAAGAGATTTTAAAGGTTACAAGCAAAATTATTTCTTCTGCTCTGCTTTCCAGATCTGCCAGGGCTTATCTTGGCTGCATATTTTGCATTTATTTTGCATGCATACCACTGCAAACTATATGCCCGAAACCACACTGTGTGTCCTGCAACGTGGGCCAGAAAAGCACTTAAAAAAGCTGAGAGGACAAAAGGCCTACATAAAGGGAGGTACAGCAATTATATCAGTGTTTAAAGAAATTTATAATGAAACAAAAGCTAACTGTGTTACATTTGCACGTATCCTAGTTGTTTGATGTAATGGTCTTATATCAGTAGTGATTTAGCCATGTGAACGTAAGAAGTTGCCTTTACCTCACTGATAAGCAGAGTGCCTTTATGTCAGCAAGGAGCTAAGAGACATCTTGTATTGCAATGCTTTATTACTTTCCAAGAGCCCCAAATGCAAACACTACAGAAACACATGAGCACAATTTCCAGGATCTTTCCGAGGCTCTGATATTGATAGTCAGCATCAGCTATTGCTGGAGGCGCGAACATCAATTGCTAGTGTGAGGAAAATATCATTTCACTGAAATAATTGATTTTTTTTCTTATTATTATAAAAATACATCTAGTGCCATAAATTTATAGGGCATTCTATAAATGTAAAAACATATTCTCTGCTCAGTAGAGCTTGCAATCTAAATTGGACCAATATATGAAAAAGGTAGATTGGTGATGAACAGAGAAAGGAAAGAAGTGACTGAAATTGCTTTTACCAATTTCTTGAATCTGACCAGGTTTCCAGCTGATAATGGGCTAGACTTTTAAAAGTATTTGGGCTTCTGTTTTTCCAAGATTAGGACACTTAAGGATCAGCATGAATACAGTTATTTTACACGTAAAATGCACCACAACAAGCACATTATGTGGGAGAGGAGCAAAGATGGCTTTGTGCCTTACAAATCTTATGTTGTCCTGGACACTAGAGTCAATTTAGATAGATAGCCTTGAAAGAGGTCTGCTCAGGTTGTGTAATTCCTCTCAGATTGCAGTGCCATCTGTAATCTTTACAACATTTTGCGTTTTAACTGGATTCCTTAAAACTTTTTCCATCTTAGTGTTTTTTTGGTTTTTTTTCCTAGGCAAACACTCTGTCTCATTTCTTTGTCTGTTGGGTCCTGTGAGACAAATACTTTTGTGGGCCAGAAGTAGTGTTTTAAAACCCATTTTTTGCAAACTCTTCTGCCTTTTACACAAATAAAGATGTCGCTCAAGGGACCTTGTTGCAACACGCAAGAAAAAATATAATTAAAGCTGATTTAAACATTGAATTTCTTTGCCATCATAAAGGTTAAATACACGAAAAAGCAAAAGAACATTCATATAACAGAAACAATAATGAAGGGTTTACATCTGCAGCCTCCTTGAACAGTAGAGGTTGTGGCTTTTCCTATGTACAGTCATCAGGAATAGCTGGTAATTACCAAGTTCAAAGCCTATTGTCTCCTCCAAAAAGCCAAATTGTTTTTTTGGGGTTATTTCAGAATGACGTGACGTCTGATGGCTCTATTCCTTTTATAGGTCTTCTTGATACGCATTGAATCCTGACCTGGGATGGAAAGTAATTTTTGTGAACATATTTACAGAATGATGTGTAATAGATCTAGCAAAGGCTGAAGGCTGGTAATAGTGACTGATGTAGTACCGTGGAGAAAAGAAACCTGAACACTGCTCTCCGAGGAGGCTGAGCGAGGAGTGAGGTAATACCAGGTTTCATTGCCCAGTCAGGGTTGACAGAAGGAGAGGTGATTTTGCTCCTCAAATTGTGCTCAGAGGACAGGAGGCAGAATGCATTTTACATATATGCAGTAGGTGATGGGACAGCCTTGTTCGGTGATCTAGGAGACATTGTGCTATATACAAAGGTCCTCTGCAAAGCTGATGAATATTTTTTCCTATTGCAGGGCTGGTATGTTGAATGCCTCTGATAAGCTGAATCTTGAATCCAGCCTTGTCGTGGTTTGCTTGCTGTATAATCTCATTAAGCCAGTGGGGACTGCACTGAGGAAAAATCACCGGAGAATTTTTTGTATTCTGTAGCTGACAAAGGGAATGTCCTGAATTTATTCTACTGGCATGGTTTTACTTTCAGGTAGGTGTGGGCATGCACAAACCATTTCAAAATGTCTGCATCAAGCATGAAACGTTCCATAGGAGTTTACATAAAGCAAGCACGCTGTCTGTGGGTAGGGTGTATAAAGACGGCAATTTGTGAACTTTTCTTCTTAAATCGTAACCTTCCACATAGGAAGCTCAAGTAGGTCATGTGCTAAGGGGAGCCAGGAAATGCACATACATGTGTGTGATGCAAATCTGATAGCCTCTCTAGTAACCGGGAGTGGCCAACAGATGTGCATCCCAGTTTGTTGGATGTGTTTGTACATTTTCTGAGATGTTACAGATATCAAGTGTGTATCAGAGCCTAGAATCTGACCTTTAAAAGTAGATGTCTTCTAAGATTGTATTCAGCTTCCTTGTGATGAGAATTAGCTTTCCACCTTAATCAGCATTTGCAACTTGATTCAGCAGAGCATTGAAGATGTGCTCACAGCAATCTCCATTCAGCAAAATTTTTAACTCTAAATACATGCTTCAGGAACAGAGCTTAAAATTAATGTGGGTTTACATGCTTTGCAAAACTGAGTTTTGACTTTGAGCCTCTGGATGGGAAAACTAGTCATGAACGTTTGGTTCTAGTGTGAGATTTCTCCCTTTTTGCTCAGGAGGGGAGTGACACAGGAGGTGTCACTGGAAACCACCACTACTGGTGAACATTTTAGAACCCCTTTAAAAATAACATCTAAACATGTGAGTAGGTATAAAATAAGAAGAGGTAGTTTTTTTAACATTCGCATAGTAAAGAAAAGAAAAGAAAAAATTTTGGAAGACTAACTTTTCAATTTCAAAATTAAGTGAAAAATTTGTAATTCAGAAAAAGTTTGCAGTCATCTGTAACCCTCAGGGTGCTTATGCCTGTGGACAGATGTTCCCTCTCTAAGTCATTTTCCCAAAATCCTAGTTTTGTAAAAATGTAAAATAAATCCACACGTGTTTTGATGCTCTCCACCATTCCTCTGATATTGCCCTGTAGAATACAAAAAAGACATGAGGAATCAGAATAAAGGGATCAGGAATATCAGGGATACAGACTTTCTTTTATTCTTTGTAAGGAATAAAGACATAAGAATCAGCGCTTTGGAGGATGCCCTGTTACTGGACCCTAATACATGTTAGAAATGCCATCTTCAGCTGTGCTGCTGGTGGAGTTCTGCAAAGTCCACTCCACAAAGATGTTTGCCATCTGCACACGGGACCTCTTTTGCTTCTATGTGCCATTGGCAGCAGCAATATCTCACTTCCTTCCCTGCGATCTGCAGACCAGAAACATCACTATCTCCCAGCCATGGCAAATTGAAGAACCCAATCATCCTTATCTGCTCTCAAAAACATGCACCCGTGAGGAATGTTCCAAAAATGGTAACTTCCTCATGTGACTTAAATACTGCATCCTAACATCAGTGGATGGCTCCTGAATTTTTCAGCATTTGTGTGGGGTTTTTTAGCATTGATATGAAAGATGTTCTCTTACAAAAGAAGTTGATTAGTTGGACAGTGCTTTTTCACAGCATTGAAGGAATTAGTGCTCCAGATAAGAGCGCTTTCTGGTCTGGTGCCTATCTTCAGATTTGCCAGTGGGCAACACCATAGAAGCCTGACAATGGAAAGATTCTTTAAAAGCCCTGATTAGGCATTAATGCAGGTGTTAACTTCTGCCTTTATAAATTGTTACCATAGTTAGTGATTTGTAAGGTTTGAGTTAGGCTGTCTGGGAGGGGATGTGAGAGGGATGGAGGATCTCACCAGACAGCCTACCTCAAACCTTATAAATTGCTGGAAGTAGGGTTTTAGAGCAGGAGTCTGAATTTGTTTGTAATTACATATGCAAGTTTTATTGTTTAATAGGTGTGAAGAGTGTAAAACACGGTAAGCAACCTACTGCTTAAAAGGGAAATGTTTCAAAAAAATTTGAGAACGGCTGTCCTAATTATTGTATATGACATTAGTTTTCATTTCCAATTAAACTCTGAGCTAGAGAATACCTTACACACATGACTACTACTGGTCACTTGCATATTATGGAAAAAAGCATATTTTGCTATTTTTAAATTATTTATTTAATCTCCATGTAAAGTTTCATTTTTCTCTCTATAGTTCCAAGACAGGTAAGAATTTGGTTTTTAAACCTCATAAATTAGCAAAATTTTCTATTAATTCATCTGTCATATCCATTGTTAACAACATTAGATTTTTTCGTTATGTGTTGTATAATTGGTGATTGATCCAGTTTAGTTCTAACTGTCAGAAGAAGCAGAAACCCCTCTAATTTCCAGAACTTGCTTCACAACTCCATAGACTGTGTATATTCCAGTCACAGTCTCTATCTGTGTAAAATTTGGAATAAATGTATTGAAGTCAACAAAGCTGTTTTAGTTTAACATAACGTAATAATAGACTCCGTCCTCAAACTCAATCTATCATTCCAGCACTCGTTAGGCATTCTGGTTTTGTTCATAGTAGGAGCCATCATAAAGAAATTGATTTCCCTCTGTTCATTCATCCAATTTATTGCAAGAGAACTCCATGTTCATTTGCCCATTACACAGCATTTTGTGGGGTGAGACAGAAACAAGCCAAAAGAAATCAGCACAAGAAGTAGTTATCATGTTGGGTATAAATGCAGAACAGCTCCACTTCCCCCAGAGGAGTTCATTTGCATTTAGTTGGGTAAGACCAACTCCAGATTATACTCTGAACCCCCAAACTTACCCTCTCAACCCCCATTTGCTGCACTGAATTACAAAAGAGACTTATGATCCTGTAGCCTATGTGCTATGATTTCCATTACCTCTGCTATTCCTCCCCCTCCTTCGCTGCTAGTTGTGTTCCCCAAGTTGGGCAGCCAAATAATGTGTCCTCCATGGCTGTTAAAATTGCACTATAAATAGGCTGGGAAGCAATATTGTTGGAGAAAAGCAATTGGCACAGTCCTCTTTCCTCTCCCCAGTGGCAAAGTTGTTCATGACCATAACGCACCTGTTCTCTGTTATCCAGAGAGCATAAACCCGGGGTTGTTTCTGCATCTGGATCCCTCACAGGGTTGCACAAAGCATGGTGCATTTCAATAAGGATGCCACCATCACTATGTCAAACATCATACAAAGGCAACGACAGAAAATGAGAGCCCTCTCCTGCATTGCTCTGCACTATGATTAAGGTGTTCTTGGTAGAGCCAAATTGAAAACTTTCTGCACAGTTGGCTCAGTTAGAGATTTGCAGTCAGGACCTTATTAATGCCTACAAGTATCTCAAGGGCGGGCTGAGGGAGGAGGGAACCAGACTCTTTTCAGTAGTTGCCAGTGAGAGGACAAGGGGCAATGGGCACAAGTTGGAACATAAAGGGTTCCACTTGAATATGAGGAAGAACTTTTTCACAGTAAGGATGACAGAGCCCTGGAACAGGCTGCCCAGGGAGGGTGTGGAGTCCCCTTCTTTGGAGATTTTCAAGACCTGCCTGGATGCCGTCCTGAGTAACACGCTCTGACAAGCTCTGGGTGGTCCTGCTTTAGCAGGGGAGTTGGACTAGATGATCTCTATGGTCCCTTCCAACTCTAAAAATTCAGTGAAATTCAGTGAAAATTCAGTGAATGCGTTTAGCTGGTAAATCTGTAAGCTGTGAATTGCGTAGAGACTTGGCATGACAGTAGGTGAAGTGATCAAGTAGAGAGGTGGGTGTTGGCCTCTCGTCCCAAGTGACTAATGACAGGACCAGAGGAAATGGTCTGAAGTTGCGGCAGAGGAGGTTTAGGTTAGATATTAGGAAGAATTACTTTACTGAGAGAGTGGTCAGGCACTGGAACAGCCTGCCCAGGGAGGTGGTAGAGTCACCATCCCTGGAGGTATTTAAGAAACATGTAGACATGGTCTAGTGCCCCGGATTGTTGGTTTGTGTCTGTTTGTGGGTAGGTGTGGTGTGGTTTTTGGGGGTTTTTTTTGTGTGTGGTTGGACTCGATGATCTCAAAGGTCCCTTCCAACCATGAATATTCTGTGATTCTGTGTAGTAGTAGCTTTGCTTTCCCTTTATGCCACTCATTGGCTTAATGTTTGGCTTACATACCATGATATCTTCCCAACTTCAGCTTCAAGGCCTTACAGATGTTGCCTTCACTGCCATGTCATCTTCCTGTACTAGTTTACCAGCTTCATATCTGTCCCCTGCCTACAACTCTGTGCTTTCAGTTATATGTTTTCTATCCCTGGCCCAGTTTTTCCCCAGAACACCAACCTGCTTCTGTACGTCAGTAATTCTTTGCCTACCTACCATCCCTTTCTTGCCTTCTCCATCTAGCGTCGTTAGGCCTTTAAGTAATGGAATAGCTTGTTTTGGTTTGTTATGCATGCTGTATAGTTCTTTATGTTGGGTGGGCTAAGATCAGTACTATTCCTGTGGCATTGTGTTTTTGAAAGCTGTGTGTACAGGATCCTTGTAGACCATAATAAAAATCTCTGAATATATCTTAATTTCAATGATGTGAGGACAGTGAGGACAGGCTGAAACCAGTACTTCATTGCATGATCACGGCTGAAGTAATTACAGCCATCCCTTCCAGCTAAACATGTAGATATTGTAGATGAAGTGTTTATACATTTGTGTGATTCTGTGAGTAAAAAATAATCTGTTTGGAAATTCTGAATAATGGTTTCGATTAAATTAATATTTCAGAGACTCTCCCTTTGGAATGATGATTTGTCGGCAGCTTAGAACGAATCAAGCAAGAATCTTATACAAATAGCAAACCGTTATTTAAAATGTGTCGGAGCATGGTAGGGTAGGGCACCTCTGAGCTGGTGCTAAACTCTGCTTTCAAGTTTCTGGTGAACTCCCAAGCTCCATTTTGACTGGGTGCTTTGAAACACGGTCTCTTCTTTTGGCTTCTCTGGCAGTTTTCCAATAAACAGTCTGTCAGCCTGTTATGCTTTCACAGCTGTATTAGCCCCTTTGGCCTCCCCACCAAGCTCCTGACTAACACGTCGGTCCTACTGGAAAAATGAGTTTACAATTTATTCTTCAGGGATGTGACAGCTGATAGCAAACAGACAAACACTCTTTGCACTCTTTGCACACCAGTCACTTTTCTACTGAAATAGCGCAAGAAATGACACATACGCACACATACATGTATGTGTATATATATGTATGCATTTATGTATTTATTTATGAACACAAAAATGTGTATTTATGTACAAAAATGTGTATGTTTGTCTTTCTAAGAAGAAGAAATTATATATATATCCTCATTGCCTTTTCTTTCTTCTGTTTCTCTACCACTCCCAGGAGTTGTCTGTGTCAGAGCCTTCCAGGCAGTTCCCAGTCCTTGTGTGATGCACAGCTTTCCCTCTGGATCATGAGCTCGGTGTCCTTTGGTTCCTACTTCCTTACTTGGCCCAATGCCTTCTCCAGCCCTTTGTCTCAATTTCTTTCTTGCTCAGCTTTCCTCCCCAGCTTCTTAATCTGTGAGATTTTATCAAGGCAAAATATGCGCTTCTGTAGGATCGTATCAATGCTTCATTTCATGCTTCTGCCTTTAGGAAAATTCCCAGGCTCTAACTCCAGGACCCAGTACAGACAATCTGCCTTTTCCTAGATGTTAGCCTTCTCATTGCTCTGCCCTGGTGCCCAGACAACAACCCCTACATGAGACTTTTTTAAGGACAGATCATTTTTGGCCCTGCTTCCCTGCTTATTAACACAAACTGTGTTGAACCAAGGTATGGTGAAAACAGATGGATATAAAAGTGCAAATAATTCCTACACTGAAACTAGGATTTTGTAAGGTGTGTAGATGTGTCCTGGATGACTCCTGAAAGGTTTTGGAAAAAAGACAGACCTAGGGGACTACAAGGCCCCAAACTAAATTACTTACTCAGAAAAAGGTGTTGAGCTGTCAAGTTACAAAAAAGCCCCCTCTTAAACAATGCAGCAAGGGGACAGTTTTCACTTTCATGCAGTAAACAGGAGTTTCAGGAGTAACTTGATTTCAAATGAGCCGTATTTGACAGGCAAACTCAGACTGAAACCCGAGTGGAGTGTTTGAATGCACTTGGGCTGAAACTGAAGAAAAGCTTTCCATGAATCGCTGTAAACGGAAACCACTGTGTTAACCTAGATGGGTGCCCTACTTCCCAGCTGAGGTACCTCCTTCTGCTCCCTCCCTATGGACCAGCACGAGGCTGTAAGAGGTGACCTTGAATAAAGGGCTCTGCCCCAGATACAACACCGGGAAGGAACTATTATTCAAGCACAAACCATTCTGCTCCTCTCCTGGGCAGAGTGGATGACAGAGGAGGTATAAACCTTTCTGTGCTGTGTCCTTTCTTCTCTCTGCCGTCTGCTCTTGATACAGCCTTGTCCTCGTCCTGCTGTTGGGGTGTTCAGCCTCTGGGCAGCACATTTCCCTGCAAGCCATGGGTTGCAGCCCTCCCTTACATTTACTGGTTCTGTGCCAACACTTCCAGGGGCTGCTTGGGTGGTACCTTTTCAAGGGCATTTCAGTCTCATTTCACTTTTTCACATCTTTTTTTTTTTTTTTTTTTTTTAATATAAAAGTTACAAAGGACTTTTTTTTTCCCCCTCCACCCTGTTTCTTGTAGTCTATACCATTCCCTAAAGTATAGCCACTGTTGGGTTGAAAAAATAAGTGTTGTTTAATGATACACAAAAGCCCACACCATGTTTATTACCACTGTGCTAAGGAAAAGGGTTTATTTAGTGCTGCAGGTTTATGACACAGAAAAGGATCTTTTTTCTAAACTTATGGCAAGTTTTAATTTTAGATCAGTTTCCAAAGCTGTAGAAATACTAGGTAGTTAGATATATGCTTAATATTTCACATTACTGGATTGTAATTCTTTCTGATAGAGGATTTAGCTATTTTTCTTCATGAAAGTTGGGGAAGTTTTAGACTGTCCAAGAGATTTCACTATTAATTTAAGTCTGAGCAGAGTTCAGTATATGTCAGTAGTTCTGATTTGTGCTGGTTGTTGCACACCAGCACCAGCGCTGACTGAATAAAATGGAAAAAGCACAAAGACTGAAGTCAGTGGTAAGATGTGTGGCTGCCTTATTGCTGCCCCTCTTGCCCCCATCAAATCCCATCTGTCTGTATTGGAAATCGGCTGTCCAGCCTGCTGTTGATCAGACTTCACCCAGGTGCTTTTGGAGAAATTTATATTAATATTGTGGGTGTCTCCATGCAACTGGTAGCACCAACCTGCCACAAAGAGAGAAAATGGTTCAAAATCAAGGAAAAGTCAAAGAACCCTAATTTCTGCGGAATCAGAATACGCGCCAGTTCCTTCTTTGTGGCTCTATGCTGGACTTGCACCAGTAGGTCCATGTCTTTTGTACTGGCCTCCAGCTAGACTTCATGCTGCTGATCACAGCCCTTTGATCCCAACAGCTCAGCCAGTTTTCAGTCCGCCTCAGTGTTCATTTATCTAGTCTGTACTTCATCAGTTTGTCTATGAGGCTGTTACAGCAGATAGTATGGAAAGCCTTGCTAAAATCAAGATAAAGCCTTCCTAAGGTCAAGACCTTCAGGTCTGTTTCTGCCAGGAGAACCTTTTCTTTTCTGAGTTATACCGCTATTGAGGTCTTTTGTCCTTGGATGAGTTGCTTTGTCACTTAGTCTCTTTCTGTCTCACATTTTACAAGGCTGGACCTGAGGTTTGCAGTTGTAGGGAGAAGGGAGAAATGATCTTTCATAGAAAGTATTTTAATACTGTCAAGTGTGAGCAGTTTACACAATAAAATTCAGAAGTGAAAGTTAGGCACGGACCATTGATACCAAATATTTAAAATATATATTAAAAAAGTATTTATAAAAACAGAGCAGTTTGTTAAAGCTTTTGAAATTTATTGAACTTAGCATCCACAAATGTTAAACATGTACAGCTTTACCTTTAAGAGGAAAGGCTCTGCAGTGGGCATTTAGCTAGATTTGTACACCTACACACTGCAGATGGTTTAGTTTTATAAGAGATGAAACTGCATTTGGTGGAACTGATTAAATATAAAAACACCACCATCTGCCATTTATTCTAATATAAAATGGTTTGGGCAGATGCTGACATCTTTTGAGATGATTGATTCATCTCTGACAAGTGAAGATTCTCGGAGGGTTCCAGCTGCCCACTGCTCACACAATACACGCTTACGAGAGCAAACGCCAATCAGCGCACTGTGATTTGGATGTAGCAGGTGAACGAAGGGCACTTTAATAACCAGCAGCCTGGAATTCCTAACTACATCAGTGGTGGGGTATTTTTCTTCTTTTTTTTTTCTCCTCTCCTACACTTCTGGCCCACATTAAACTGTGAGAATATTTTATGCACACGGTATACTGCATTGGAGCACAGCTACCCTAGCACGGCAATAACTGGAAGAGCGTCAATTTCTGGCACAAATAGTTCTCTCTCATTTTTCAGAGTGCAAAGCCATCAGATACTCTCCACATATGCTATTCATTTAAAAATTAGTTTTTGCTAAGTGTCCATCAGGGTTACATTTAAACTTCCTGGAGTACTGTTTATAGAGTATGACACCAAATGCTTTGTAATAACTTAAATAACAGATGTCTATCTTGTTTTATTTGATAACATTGTCACACTCTCTACTGTGGTATGCTTTAGGATAACTTGCTGTAGCATCATCTTTCTTAAAGGCTTTGCTCAAACTTTTTAGAATGTGCATGATAAGTTATGGAAGAATGCATTTAAACATACTCAAGACCAGATTGTGACATCCGTACCCACACTGAATAGCTGTTTGCACCAGCAGTAAGTCCTGCTGCAGACAGACCGTTTCTTATGAAATATGGTCCTGACCCAAAGCTAGACTTGTGGTAACTGCAGTGGACTTTTGGTCCATCTCCAAGTGGGAGAAAGTGCGGTACAATAAGACCATCATGCAATAAGGAAGTAGATCAAATCAGTCCTAACATTGCAAGTATATAAACCACTGCATTTCTTTGGAATATCTTAAAAATAGAATGCAGATTGTACTGTCATTTGCTGTTCAGTGTATCTTGACTAGTTCCAACAAAGTCTGGAATAACACTATTGTACATGGAAGAATTTGGTACTACAATATGGGCAAGAAAACAGTCTGTGGGCCATTTTTAAGCTATTGAGAGAAGCTATTTGGAAAAAGAGGGATTCTTATAATTGGTACAGAATATTTTCTGCTCACCTGTTGCTGGAGGCAAGGCTATAGATAGTGTCATTTCATTGTTTCAAAAAGTGAGGGGTAAAAAATAAGTCAACCAGATCCTTATCTGGCATAAACTGGGATTTCAAGTCAGTGAAGCTAATCTTATTTATATCAGTTATATATCTGGGCCAGAGGATTCAGAAATTATTTTCCTTCACTTCTCTTCATATTAACCCCTTCTTTAGTGATGATGTTTCCTTCATTCAAAACCTAAGATTCTTCACATTTACCTTTTTTCCTTTTTTCTCAGGTGCTTTTTCAGCAGGAAGGGGCAATCTGACATCTTGTCTGAGAACAACCTGACTGGCCCTTGCTGGATACTGGTTTGTAGAAGGCACTGATGGATGCTTCCCCCTGTGAAAGGAGGACCTCCCATCAGTGAGTGACTGTGTTATTTCATTTAATGATCTGGGAAACTGGATGCTAGGAATTACCTCTGAGGTTGGGTTTACTGCTGTGAAAGAGCAATGTTTGTGTTAAACTCAAAATGCAACACCTTAATTTGAATGTTCAGTAGGTTTGATTTTTAAACAATGAAATAGAAGTGGAAAGGAAAAACAGAATCCTAATGAATATACAGTACTTAATATATGGAATGCATATCTGACTTTGGGGAAAAGACTTTTTTCTCCGTTTTGGCTCCTATTTCTTCTGACATAGAAACATAATACAAATCTAAAGTGTCTAATCCAAGAAACAGCCACCAGAACCTTTATAATGCAAATGATCTGACTGTTCTATAGTGTCTTTCTTCCAGAAAGGTCCCAAAGTGCTATACAAATTACATGTGGCTACATGAATCAGTTCCCACACCACTGAATTACAGGGAGCTCTGGGGAGCAGGACGTCTTTCTACCAGTGCACAGCAGCATTACCCAGCATTTTGGGATGGGAAGCAGAAAATACAAAGGAGACAAAATAACAAAATAAGAAAAGATGAAACAGATTGAAATTAAGATTCAAAGAGGACTGGGGAAAAGGATAAAATCAGCTCCATGTTTTTCTTTGATAGTGTCATCAGAGATGGTGATATATCTTGTTCTTGATAGCTATAGCTGACCTTTGCAATATTTATCAAGGGGTTCCCAGGACATGGGCAAGAGTATCTGGGCAGGAAACAGCACTGCTCTGTGTTTCTGCTTCGTTTCTCACTGCAACCTTTCCTCCTGTGTGCCCAAGCTTCCACGAAGAGGACCCTGGCAGAAAGGCAACGGGGTACCTACACCCTGGCCAGATGCGATGCTTTCAAGGAATGCTCTCAGCGTGCCTGAAACAGGGCTGAGTTTGGCTCCTTTGCCACTTCCCCCCTCTGAGCCACCCCAGCATCAAACGGCAGGGCTGAGTTTGATAGTGTCATCAGAGATGGTGATATATCTTGTTCTTGATAGCTATAGCTGACCTTTGCAATATTTATCAAGGGGTTTATAGCTGACCTTTGCAATATTTATCAAGGGCATGGGCAAGACTCTTGCCCAGGACATGGGCAAGAGTATCTGGGCAGGAAACAGCACTGCTCTGTGTTTCTGCTGCGTTTCTCCCTGCAACCTTTCCTCCTGTGTGCCCGAGCTTCCATAAAGAGGAACCTGGCAGAAAGGCAACGGGGTACCTACACCCTGGCCAGATGCGATGCTTTCAAGGAATGCTCTCAGCGTGCCTGAAACAGGGCTGAGTTTGGCTCCTTTGCCACTTCCCCCCTCTGAGCCACCCCAGCATCAAAGGGCAGGGCTGTAGAGCTGGCCTTGGACTCAAACCTCACCACTGCTGTTAGCAGTGCTCTCCTGGCTGCCACTGCTCCGGCCAGAGCCAGATGGAGCAGGGAAGGAGGAAGGAGGGACCAAAAATAAAAGGATGAAGGGAGAAAAAGAGGAGACTTTCCCACAAAAACAGTTCATCAAAAATGAACGGTTGTCCAAAATCCAATTTTTTTTATTTCTTAAAAAAGATTTCCTCAATTTAGAAATGGATACTCTTTTTATTTCCCTCGGGCTCCCTAGATTTGAAATTTGAAACATGAAAGAATCCCTCTCTCCATCTGATTTTATGTCAGCTGAAAATTTTGTTTGACAAAGCTAAAGCTTGCCATACAACTCAGTTTTGAGACTGGGGTTTTATGTGAGAAGCGCTCAACTATTGTCATTACAACTGTTGATTTGCACCTAAATTCTGTTAAATTGCCATTTTTTATGTTGAAAAGAGGTTGGTTGGGTTTTCTTGTGTGTGTGTGTGTGTGGTTTTTTGTTTGTTTGTTTGTTTTGTTTATTGGTTTTATTTTTGTTTTGATTTTTTTTTTCCCCCTCAATGGATAGCTTGCAATTCACTCTTGTGAGAAGTGGTGTGGGGCTAATCATTTCCAGAGCCTGTCTGAATGCAGTGCTGGTGACAGTGCTGCTACTTTGTGCATAATAGTTCCTTCACTTGTGGGAGACACACTAGGTAATTAAAAAAGTCTGTAAACAAAAGCTGAGGTGCAGCTTCGCAGCAGAGTGATGCAGAGTGACATTGTGGTAGATGATTAGTCTTCTTGGGAGCAAAATCAATGAAAGCAGCAGTAGTCAGATGTGTTCTGGCATAATTTTTCCTATGTGCAGGTGAGGTGTTTTACAGGAGTCTTAGGAGCTGTCGTTATTGTCACAATTTTCCACCAGCCCTACAGTCAGCATTTACAAAAGTATCTGACTGTAGATAAAACCTGTGTATGGGATTTAGGCAGGTCAGAAAAATGGAAAGGGGCAAAAATCTCCTAGCTTTCTCTCCATGAACTCTCATTAAAACTTCCCAGGTTTGTTCTCTTATTGCTGCCCACTCCTTCCTTCCCCCTCAGTACTGCTTATCTACGGGAAGAATCATGGCTGGAATTTATAAATGCTTCTCTGTTGTGCAAAAGAACTTTGATAGCATGAAATGAATAGCAGGTAACATAATAAGAAAAAGTATCTGGCTGCAGCTTTGGAAATGTAAATTCTTTTATCAGTCCCCCTGCTAATTGGAATTGCTGTTTGTTGTTTCACATTTAGTGGATTTCATTATATTTTCTTTGGTAATTAGATATTTTAACTATAAATTAAAAATACCAGACAAAAAAACCCCGACGACTCAACCCCAAACCACCAACAAAAAAACCTTCATTAAGATGCAGTCGAAGTTGCATATAGATACGACGTTAATTAAAATAATATTGTTAGAAGGCCCTGTTAAGGAAAACAAAGCAAACAAATGAACCACAAAAATTTGAAACTTGGAAAGAAGGACCCAATCCAGCCCTTCCCAGCCACTGCAAAGGCGCTTGCAGTCTGCACTGTGCTTTGGAGGGAGCCCACGTCCAAGTGAGAGCTCGAACTGAGGGGCAGGTCCGGGAGGAGGAGGAGGGTTTTGCCCCTTTCCTTCAGTCTCCTGGTGGTGCCTCTTTCAGACTCTTCCTCTCACGCTGTATTCAGCTCCAGCATCAGCCAGGTCCCAGCCTGATGTGGGCTACCAAATACTCCCTGCCTTGTTTGGACACAATAGAGGAGGTGTCAGAAGAGGATTTTTGCATCGTTTGTCATATGTCCGTATGGAAAAATCCTCCCCAAATTGATGTTGTTCCAGGTGGGTGGAGAAAGCACTCTGTACACCTGAGAAGTTTTTAAATGGGAAGGCTTGTGAATTTTTCATGCTTTTTTGATTTTTTTAAATATACTGAATGGTAAAAATATAAAGCAAAATTTCTTAAAAATACCTATGCTTCTTTAAATTATTTCTTAAGGGAAAATTTAGTAAGATGCATCACACTCCTGTGCAAATAGCAAAGAGGAGGTCAGAGACCTGCTGCTTGCACTTCATTGATACTGCAGAGCTAAGAGCTGTCCCAAAATGTATTTTGGAAGATTAATGAGCCTTTCTCCATTTGCGGCTTCACTTTTAGACCTGAGCTCAGACATGGCAGAAGGAAAACTATTGCACAAAGTTTTCATTCTTTCTGAGGCTGAGTTCTATATTATTAGCCTGAGGAAAGGACAACCCAAGAAGAAAATATCTTAGGTAGATTTGGGTCCAAACTTGTTAGCAAAATGAACCTCCCCTCTGTAAACTAGACAGACAGAGGCAGCAGTGTCTGAGAGATTATGAGGTCTAGAGACCAGTGTATAAAGTCAGCTCGTCTTTGAACAGGAGGAAAAAAATATCATTTACTCACTCATTTACTTCTTTGTCCTGTGTGAACTCCCACATTTATTAAGCTTTCAAAACAAGCTTTTTTGAGATTAATTGCCTTGTACTGAAAACATTAGATAAATGTGAAATATACCAAAACCCAAATGAATCAAAAGGAATGACATTTTTCTCCAGCTGAAGGTCAGCGCAAACACTGAACGCATTGCCATGCTTCCAGAATTGGCTTCTTAATTTCAAGTGTCTCCCTGCAACTATACCTCCTCCCTTTTGTATCACCCCTTCTATTAGTTTAGTAATATGCTGTCATCCTGATTTTTCTTAATTTCGCTTGTGATATTACTTCTCCTTTTCCTCCTCCTATGGGAACAGATTTCTTCTGCCATATGCCCATTTAAACCTAATTGTAGTATCTGAACATCTTGTGTGCTTAGCCACAGCATCCCTTGGGGTTCAATCGAGGCAGAGTATGTATGTGACCTTTAAAGCCATGTCAATGTGAGACTCTCTCAGCACATGGGTCTTTAAAGCCTGGATGTCTATGCTTCATACTAACAAATTCGACCAGCCTGCCTTTTTATGAGGATATCATCATTTTGGGCAAATTCCAGGTTCCATATTTTAAATCAGCATGTAGAGCACTTTTAAAATCTCAGTTTCCCCGAGATCAAGTTCCAGAAGATTAAAAATGAAAAAAATCAAAGCAGTGTTATTTTATTTATTTATTCCAGAGCAAATTTGTAGTAGTAACTGCTTGAACATGACTAATTGGCAATTTGTAAAATGGACTGCTCTCAGTAGCAAAGTTTTAAGCACGTCAATGCTGTAACTGTTTCCTTATTATGACAGTTCTTAAAAAGTGTGATAAGGTTGTTATAGAAAACAGTGAAAATTCCCTAAACTGCTGAGGATTATAGATTTTGTATTTGTAACCTAAACAGTCTTTATTTTCACACTTTTTTGCATACACCAGAAATATGATTGTGCTCGGTAAACAGTGAGCTGCCCTAACAGTCCTGCCATAATAATGCTATACTGTGCTGAAGTCTCATGAAATCTCTTTGGCTCAACGAAAGCCTTTTCACAAACATCCTCAGTTTGGATCTTTGTGTCAATCCACAGCATTGTTGCTGAGCTGTTGCCTTCCCAGAGCCACTCTGGCAGTTCAGCATATAAATTGTACAGATTTAAGTGCTTCACTAATATAGAAGTCCTTAAATATAAAAAGTCAG